CGCCCGACCTGCCGGCACCCCGCCTGGGCATCTGTCAGGTTCCACAGGTCGTCACACACCGTGCCCCAGCTGCTGCCATTGTACAGCTCCACGCGGCCCTCGCATCTGTTCCTCCCGCCGGAGAGGCGCATGAGGATGCCTGGGAAATGGCACAGGGTCAGTGTCCTGCCAGCCCGGAACCCGTGGGCCCCACCTCCCTGGCTGTTTTGGGGATTTGGCTGCAGTGAACGTGAGCTGGGGTGGTGCAGACCCAAAGGGACCTGGGGGGAGCAGTGGCTGAGCAAACACCCCAGTAGTGCAGAAAGCAGATGCACAACGGGCAGGGACCTGTTGGAGGTGTCCATGGGAGCTGCCTGGGAGTCCTGGGGGCTGCTGGGGGCATGGGGGCATTTCAGAAAACGCCTTTGCACACCTTGATGGTGACCGATCCCCTGAGGGGAACCACTCATGCACCATGGGGATTTCACAGGCAGAAGGGAGCAGCAGACCTGTACCAGGCTGGCACAGGTCAGCTTGTCCCCCCTCGTGCTGGGTTGGGGCACACTGCAAGGCTGGGAATAAGCTGGGTGGGCATGAATTACCTGTGCCTGGTACTTCAGCCGGAGGATGTGCAGCTGCATTTTTTAAAGAGAGTGAATGAAAGGGCAGCGAATACAGCAGGTTTGTGACAGTGGACATGACAATGGCAATGGACATGGACGTGGATATGCAAGGCTGGAGTACTAAGGGAGGAAGAGAGCATGGGGCTCTGCCCTGTCATCCCCCTCCACACACCAGCCTGACATGTCCCCAGTGCTGCCCCATCCTCCCCACACCGTGATCCTGCGATCCTGATCTTTGCCACTGCACCGAGCACCTACACCTGCGAGTGTGGAGAACTCGCTGTGCCCTCTGTGTGCAAAAATGGGGTTTTTGGAAGACCTGTGCTTCAGCACCAGGCAGCAGAAGCCCCCAGCATTGCTGCTGTGCTCCGGCCCTACTGATGGAGATAAGCATGGCTGCTCACAAGGGAGGGCACCCAAAGCCACCTGGAGTGATCTGTGTGAGAGCCAGTGGCCTCTGCTGTCCACAGACCTGGCCCCATCTTGGGGCATTGGGTACAACGACAGGGATCATGGTGAGGAGGGCATGGGGACACGAGGAGCTGGGCACAGAGGGCCATGAGCTCCATGGGAGAGCCGGTGGCCTCTGCTGCCCACACACCTGCACAGATGACGCCGGCATCCTCCACGTGCCTGCAGTTGTGCTTGCCCCAGCCATTGTGCCTGCACAGATGGAGGGAGGATTCGTCCCCGCGACACTGCACGTTGTCCAGGAAGATGCCTCCGGAGCCGGATCCGAAGTGTGCACTGCCCGGGCTGGCCATGGCCTGGCCGCAGCCCAGCTGCCGGCACACCACCTGGGCATCCGTCAGGTTTTTCGCCCCCCGTTCCCCCACCGGCTGCCATTGTCCAGCTCCACGCGGCCCTCGCATCTGTTCCTCCCGCCGGAGAGGCGCATGAGGATGCCTGGGGTGAGGCATGTGGCAGTGGTTAGTGTCCCTCCAGCCCAGTACCCCCGGTCCCTACATAGGCCCCTACATCAGGGATCCTGCATGAGTGCTGCAAGTCCAGGGATAGATCTGGTGGGCATGAATTACCTGTTGAAGTTGGCTGGTCTGTGGTGGGCACTGGAGCTATGGATGCAAGTAGAAATTTGGTGTAAATGACAAGGCTCTGAACACAATCGGTGCATGTCATGCCCCCTGAAGTAGCCCATCTTTAAGGAGCCCCTAGCCTGTGGCACTTCACATCATGTGGACGACTTTCATTCAATTGAAGTGACTACTGTGACGTCTCTGTTTCACACAGTTATCTGCTCCCTGGGCAGGAACCACAAGACCATGGAAGTCTAACTTGCATTACAAAACCTTTGATGCAGCAGCTTTCTCTTTTCCAGTCTCTTTTCCAGTCACATCCCAAATCCCAGAGCATATCTAGGAAATAGCTATGGTACTACCTGTGCAGGAACTGGAAGGACAAAGGCAGAATGATCCCCTGTCACCGTCCCCCCAGTTGCAGCAAAAGGAAATGTCTCCCCGAACAGTTTCCTTCACCAGCAATGGCTGCAGAGGTCCTGGCCTCAAATCTCAGCTCCCCAGTTTACCAGCTCTTCCCCATAGTCTGCGTACATCGTCACTGCGAACTTGGGTGCCAGGAATAGCCTAAGTAGAGTGGCCAAGGGATGGGAGACGCCCTCCTGTGCAATCAAGTGTGGGAAGGGAGATCAGGGGCACTAAGGGTATCAGTGAGTGACTGCGGACAGGCTGACCTGACGCGCTCCCCTCTGCTGCGGTCATTTCCTCTGTGGGCTTCGTCTCTGCTAGAGAACTCATCTGTGCTGGGGTGGATGCCTCTCTGGAGGTTGAGTGTTGAGGCTTCAGTGCTGAGGCTGCTGGCACTGTGGAGGTCATTGGTGCTGTAGTGGTTTTTCCTGTGAATAGGGAAGAAAGACAGCACCCAAATGAGGACAATGCTTGTGCAATGGGTACATCTGCGTGTTAGGTACAAGCCCAGTTCCTCAAGAATGAAGTGAAATCGTGACAAATTACTCTGATGGCATACTCCATCTTGACTGGGGTCAATGGAGAGAGTGGAGGTGGGTAACAACCAATTGAAAATTTTTCTTGAAAGTGGTATTTCCAGATAGTGGCAGCAAGGAAAGGCACTGATGTGGCACCTGCTCCCAGCTACAGGACATGGTGGCCCAGGTACAGCCGGAGGCGGTCCTCTACAGGCTCCTGCCATGGGAGCTGTAGGGTTGCTGGCAGCAGCCGGGCTTGGACCTATCACCATGGTGGACACCCTTCTGCAGAGGCTCAGGTCATCCCCAGGAGCAGCCAGGGCAGTGGTCTTGGGTGGTGCTTGGCACACGACCAGGAGTGGATCAGGCCAGCATGAATTACCTGTTGAATACAGCCAGTGTGACGTAGGCACTGGAGCTATGAATGCAAGCAAGAAATAAATGGCCCTTGAAAAGGCACTGAACACAGCACACATATGGTAACAGAGGTCTCAGAGCAAGTTCTGTTGTTCTCTGCTAAATTCAAAGCACTGATGTAGCTAACATTTTCTTCTAGCATGAATTCAGCTCCTTAAGCTCTGCCTCTTTGAAGAAATGTGGAAAACTGCAATATATATATAAAGCCCCTGAACAATCTCTTGTCATCAGCCATGTCTCAGTTCATAATGATCTGCTGTAAATATAGGGGAAAATAACATCCAACTGAACTACCTTTTCTTAAAAAGTAAGGGGAAAGTAAAATCAGAAAACAGCAAGGTGGCAGACTACTCAAAATAGAGGGATATTTGTAAAGGAAAAGGGTGTTAGTGGACCTAAGCTTGAAAAGTATGGAAACAATGCAGTCAGTTGTCAGCTACAGCAGTTTGGGTTGTGACAGTGAAATTATTATTGTCCACAATGAACGCATTAAGGCTTGTGATGAGTTTCACCTAGCCCTATTCCTCCCCGATGCACACTGCCTGTCAGTCATAGCTTTGCCTCTAATCTCCACTTGTTTCCTTATTCCCTTTGCCACTGCTGAGTGATTAGATGGAATAAAAGTTCTACATATTGCAATGCATATCTGATCCTTGGGGTTTTTAACTGCTTTGCATGGAGTGAACAATCACAGTTTCTATAGTACCCTAGTAAGAAAAAACATGAGTCCATGCTGGCTCTGCAGGGTCAGCGGAGTGAAAAGACAGTTGTTGGAAGATCAGATTCTGATTCATGAGCACAGGCCTTTTCAGAGGGAGCGCGCCCTTCCACAGACTGAAAATTCTTCATAATAAAGTAGAAAGAAAAATTAGATACGTAGCTGGTATATCTGGTATAACTTTCCACTGTATATCTTGAATGAATGAAATACTATCTCAGGAGAATGTCTGCATACCCCAAAGCTGACATGTGTATATTGGGTGCAATTTATAGCAAAAGTATTTAGAAAATAAAAATGTGCCTCTCCCTTGGGGAGAGACGGAACTGAGCACCAACACCGTCAGACGAATAACCTGGAAGTGACCTTAAGAAGTCATAACTTCTGTCCTCTTGCCCCATCGTTCCTAGTAGGTGCTTGTCTAGCCCAGTATTAAATGCCTGTGAGGTCAGAGGTGATGCACACTTCTTTTTCTTCCTCTCTTCCAGATCTCAGAATCAGCTGCACATATTTTATGCAAGATTCCTACAGAAAATTTAGACGGCAGGCTAAGCACAAACTCTCAAGAAGAAGGGAAATTCTTTAATAAAAGCATAACAGGAAAGATGAGGAGAGAAAAAGAATTTCAGTATTTGAATGAAATCTAAGTAAAACTGTATTAAGAAAACAGTACTAATATTTTTTTTTCTTTGTTAATGGGAATAAACTAACACGTTTTAAGAACGGATTTCATATTTACGTATTTCTTTTATTCTTTGTTGTAAAAACATTTTATGCTAAAGAACAAGGAGATGTAGCAATTTACATTGAATCCTGTTGGAATTTAGGACGTACAGCACAGCTTTCCTGCCCTCAACCTGTGTCTTACTAGAAGGATGTATGTGTAACATTTCTACGTGACGCACAAAGTCTCTGCTGACCTGGGTGCAGGAGGGAAAGCAGAGCCATGGCTCAAGCAAATCACCAAGGCTTCAGGGACACAGCAAGATGCAGCCTGGACAGCCAAGCCCATGGCTTTTTCCTAAATCTATGCTCATGGAGCTGCTAAAAAGATGCCATATAAAAATCACCAGGTAGGTAAACTGCAATTCATGAGATATTATGCACTACTGAAGGACAAGCAGTGATCTACTTTGCTTAAAATTGTGTCAGGATTAGGCCAAATTAATCCTTCAGAAAAACTACAGCATTTTAGAGAAAAAAATATCCATTCTTTCTTTTTTTTTCCCCCTAGTTTATGCAATTTAACTAGAATTTCTCTTCTTTCTCTAAAATTTTTAGAATTTTAAGGACCTAGAGTCCACATAGCACAATAAAATTCTTTAGAGTAATTTTAGTGAAAGAATGGACAGTGTTCTCAATGTGATTCTAAAAATTTCTGTATGAATCCTTATTTCTTATATACCGGTAAGATGTTATTAGAGTTTGAAATAAAGAAATACCTAATAACCTATCATGTATACATCTGATCACTGCATTCATTCATGGAAAGCCCATCTGCTTTCCAGTTTGAGTTAGCTTGTTTAGACATTTTTCAGTGAACAATATAAAAATCCTGATTTTAAAGATGTATTTTAGTTGAAGAAGTTTATTAAAGACTTTACCATTAAGTGTAAGTGAGCAAATAATTGTTGTAACTTAAGATCTGCAGTATTTAGACTTTGGAAATCAAAACATGAACGCTGCACTTGTTATGCTTTGCCTTTCTGACAAATACATATTTAGCTTGTTTTTAAACACCAAATAAGTCATCCAGAGCAAAACAAATCTAAGAAGTTAACAGCTCCAGGATTTCTTCACTCCATCTAATTTTTTGTTGTTGGACTAGAAGAACAGTCAAGACAGTGTCCAAGGTAAATTTGTCTCTATTTGTAGGCATTTAAGCACCAGTTCAAAAGGAGAAGCTACAGAAGTGCCTCTTGATTTATATCTGACACATTTCTTCAAATATCTACTTGGACATTTTTGAACCATACTCATAGGACTTTTGAGAAGTGAAGCAGCAAACCTGGCAAAATGTCAGAGTGGGATTAGGAAATTAAAGCTGATCTAAACCAGCTTTATTTGCTTTCATTCAGGGTCTGTCATCACTGTGAGAGCATAACCATCAACCGGGCATGTAGTCAGATAGGCTGTGTCCTGCCTCACACTTCAAAGGCATCAAAAAGACAAAAGCCTGTGCTGATACAAATACAGCACTTAACCCAGGAGAGAGAGGCATGAGCTGGGGAAGGAAGCCGAGAGCAGAGGGAAGAACTGGAGCAGCAAGAGTGAGATGGCTTATCACCAGGCAAGCAGAGGAGAGATGAAAACTGGATGAAGGGGATGATGGCAATATAAATTATCATAATGATGCTTACAGAACTACTTAGAAAACATATCAGCAATAGTTCTATGACATACATAAAACTAACTACCTCAAAGTCACCCAAGACGCATAGGAGAGGGAAACTAATCATATAAGGAAAAAGTCAATGACCAAAGAAAAGTTGGACTAAAAGCATTTTATGCCTTTCGTTATTTTCAGATGTTCCTCATTTATCCACAGTGCTAGATTATGAAAAAAACCTTCTTGTTATATTTGTTAAATTGTACATAAGATCAAGAAGAATCAAATAATACAAGCAAATATGTAACATATGTATGCACGCATATACTCTGGAATAAGGACACATTTAAAAAATTAATAAATTCTTCCATGACTCTTAGATCAGATTTCTGGAATTGGAAGAACGACTCGTTCATAACATACTTACAGACACAATGCTCGTAATGACACAAGGCAATAAGACAAGTACGACTCTGCGACAGCAAAATGAACACTG